AAGCAGGGAGCCCGATGCGGGACTCGATCCCAGGACCCTGGGATCATGACCTGAGCCGAAGGCAGACGCTTAACCAACTGAGCCACCCAGGCGCCCCACCATCTTGAGATTCTTAAATTAATTTCATCGTATAAGATGGGGAGTCTGCTTCTCCCTCTGTCTGCCACTCCCCCCTGCTTGTGCTCTCTGTCAAATAAATGAATTAAAAAAAAAATCTTTTAAAAAATTCTTATTTCCAGTTGGAATATTTTTTTCATTGCCCACAACAGGTTTTATGTAGACTGCTACCTATATACACAATGTTGTCCTTGCCTGGAACATCCTCTTATCTTCCTTCCACAGATCCTTCAAAGCAAAACCATTTCTGAGGTAAGAAGTAGTAAATGCTGGGGTGCCTTGGTGGCTAAGTTGGCAGAGTGTGCAACTCCTTATCTCAGGGTTGCAGGTTCAAGCCCCACATTGGGTATAGAGCTTACTTAAAAAAAAGAAAAGAGAAAAAGTAGTAAATGCTATTTAAAACAAGAAATGTGGGCACGTGGGTGGCTCAGTTGGTTAAGCATCTGCCTTTGGCTCAGGTCATGATCCCCAAGTCCTGTGCTGGGCTCGCTGCTCAGCTGGGAGTCTGTTTCTCCTTCTCCCTATGCCCCCCCTCCCTGCTTGTGCACTTGCTCTCTCTCCCCCAAATAAATAAAAATCTTAAAAAATAAAAATAAAACAAGAAATGCCTTTTTAAAAATTTTTTTTATTTACTTATTTTAGAGAGAAAGAGAGCATGGGCAGGAGGGGCAGAGGTAGAGAGAGAGAGAATTTCAAGTAGACTCCATATTGAGCTTGGAGCCTGACATGGGGCTCAATCTCATGACCCTGAGATCATGACCAAGAGTCAGATATTTAACCGACTGCACCACCCAGGCGCCCCAAACAAGAAATGCTTTCAAAGGAGAGAAATAATGTAAAAGAACACATCAGACCTTCTACAAATACTTTGTGTGGCTAAAGAAGAGGATGAACTTTTTACTCAGCAGACCCATTCCAGTGGGCTTTGGACATATGGAAGGAAGTTTGGAAGAGAGTAGAATTCAATTGCTTTGCATAATAGAGTAAGAAGTATCTGGAATGCTTAGTGGCAATAGAGTTAGGAAGATTTGCAGAGGAAAGATACGATTATAAGAGGCCAAAGCCATACAAATGGGTGATATGAATAATGATGAAATCCTAATGGAGAGGTAGACAAAAAAAAATACTTTAAGGGACAGTGATAGCCAGTATTAGAATTTAAGTTGCTTGCTTTGTGGCAATGTAAATAATCTACATTACCCTAAATCTTTAATAAAGTCTGCTATACACATAAAGGCTTTAGCTGGGAGATATCTGAGTTCTACATCTGGGTGAATATGGATGGAAACAGGAACAGCATGCTTGAGATGGTAAGACCATCTATAATCTGAACTAATTTAGTGGAAGCAAGAGCTCAAAATTAGAATGACCATAAATAGATGAGCTCCCAGGAATTTGAAGAATCTGAGTGAAGGAATCAGACTCTCTATAAGCTGTAGAATGACACTTTGAGCCAAATTTTTAAGGGAAAAGATGGTTCCAGCTAACTAATGGGATACATTAGGACACTCAATCCTCAGAAGCTTTTAAAAAGGACCAAACTACATGAGGTTCAGCGGTGATTTACAGAAGAAACCAGTGGGGGAGGTGCCAATTACACATGCTCCTGTAGAGGTGTTCTGGCCCCTACCCTACTTAGTGTGTCCTCGGTCAACTCTCATCTCTTCCATGAAGCTTTCTCTCAAGGTTTCAGCTCTCAGATGATTCTTTTCCAAAACTTCCATTTTACCTAGAATCTGAACCTCAGTGTAACTTTGTTCTTTTTTTTCCTATTTGTTACCTTCTCTATTGAATTCAACTATAGATGCCTTGTAGACAAGAACCCCAATAAGAGAGAGAGAGAGAGTGTGTCCACATGCACAAGCGAGGGAGGGTGGGAGGGAGGGACATTCTAAACATCTTACATTACACTCAGAACCTACTTAATTCCTGGTGGGGAAATAGTGGGAGACAGTGATGCATAAGCAAGTTTACTAATGACCCTGGATAGAGATGCTCCTAAGAACAAAGAAGGAGGAATAGGAATAGGAAGAAATAGAAGAACAGGGGGAAGAGGGTGGCATAATGAAAAATATAATTTGGCTTGAGACATGCTGAGTTTGAAATACGTAAGAGCCACCCAGGTTATGATGGTAATAGTGTTTGGCCATCACGAATCTGGAATGCAGAAGAGATTTAGGTTGGAGAGAGAGATTTAAGAGTTTCTAACATATCAGTGGTAGCTAAAACCATAAGCACATGTGATATCACCCAGGGATAGTATATCCCTGGAGGAGAGAAGGAGGTTAAGGATAGAATCTTGGGAAATGTCTTCATGTAGGAAGCCTGTTGGGGAAAACAAGCCTTCTACAGTTATATGAAGTTACAGTTACATCTATATAGTTATGTGCCAACTAATACTTATAATAGATGGACCAAATAACTGGCTCTATTGAAGACCTCTAAATGCCCATTTCAAGCCCTGTTTTGATCTTCCTGTAAGTGAGCTCACTCCCTGATCTTCAGTTAAAACTGGAGCATTTCAGAGGAAGTGGAAGGAATGGACATGGGCCCTGGACCAAGGCCCCTGTGGCGGGGCCTGTGGGTAGGAGGATGCTAATTACTAGATGAACATCATACCTAAGGGCAGGATCAAAGCTAAGCCTTTGCATATAGTTTGTTTCACGATTAGCTCATCCAACTGAGTTAAAGTGGCCAACCAGAGATCTCACTCATGACAGTAAAGGCACATACATACATCAGGGTCTCAAAGGGACCTAAAATTTCTTAATCAGGAGTCTTAGAGATTTCTGTCTGCTTCAAGTGCTCTTTTCCTGGCTGTCCTGGTTGAGAATGGCATACAGAGAAAGCAACTAATTTCCTCTTTGGTTACCAGCTCTGCCAGCTGGAGCTCCTGGCACTTGGTCACCCACCCTGCCAGATTTAAATGATCTCCACCTCCAAGACTGCCCTGCCTACAGTGCATGGGTTTATCTCCACTGAAGGATTGAAAAAAATAATAGTCTGGACTACCCATGAGCTATAAAAGATGGATTTCACAGGCAAAGCAGAAAATTTACAATGCCATAATCATTCCATAAGAATGAGCTCCATCCCACTTGGCACTGATCCCGTATGTGAAGTCGAAATCTTGAACTAGCAGTGAGACTTGAGACTGATGCTGAGATGAATACTCCCAGAGTAAGAAGGAAGGGGTGCTCAGGAGAGCTAGAGAAATCCTGGAAGAGGTAAAACCTGGGGAAAGCAGCCTCAGAGAAGCCTCCTTCCTTGGATCCAGAAGCTGATGATGGCATCATCCCATTCACTACTTCCTGTTTTAACTGGAGGAAGGAGGAAGATCTGAATGGGGGAGAAAGAATGTAGAATCCCTACCTCTTCCCCACCTTAGAGCTACACTCCAGATCAGAGCTGTCCTTATGCAGACGACACCCAGTTAAGTAGTCAAACACATGATGTGATTCCAGCAGAAAGACGTAAATACCAGGTGCTCAGTAGGCATTTGTTGAATGAAGAGACCAAGAGAGATTTCCTACCCCCAAATAGTGTTTTTTTCACTGACTGTCACATTACCTTCACCTGGAATTCCTCCATTTGATGTCCATTCCTTTAGGATAAAGCCTCATATTTTCCAAAACTGTGCTCTACCAAACACCATATTCTGTGACATCTTAATATTCCTTCAAAAAAAATGGTTCTCTAGTTAAATAAGTTTGGAAAATGTTATATTCTCTCCCTTTTGAAGCTTTATAAATGCATATTAAAAACTGTCTTTGAGGCAGAGGCAGTTGGAGAACTAGCATGAAATTCAGGACAGGCCCAACTAAGCTAAGAAGCTTGTTCCAGAAGTACAGCTGAGCAGACTAGCATGACATCCAATTAGCCCAAAGAGTAGCAGGCAGAGTTCAGGATAGTCAACAACTGGGAGATCTGTGCATGGGCAAGATTCTATCCACAGAAGCCTAGATGCAAGAAAAGTCTCTAGTAGGGGCAATGGCGGGGGG